ACTGTCAATCAAGCCAGCCACGCCCCTTGGCCCACAAAATGTTGATGATTTTTTAAAATTCAGTTTTGTTTTATTCTCAGATTGGCCGCCTGATCTCTGGACTTGACCATGAAAACTAACAAGAAAACAATCCTGAGCTGTAGGAATGCAGTATTTGGTGATCTGTGATCACTTCTTTTCCAGTTCCAGTCTATGGGAGCCAGGGCTTTGTGGAGCCAGCAGCTAGTGGACGTAGTGATGCTGCAGGTTTCTGACACTTCCAGGTTGGCTTCATTTTTCAGGGCCGGTTGCTACGTCCATCTGTTATACAGTCTATGGTCCACGCTGACGGAGACGCCGGGTTGACAGCAGACACTCAGGAGGAGGGATTCCATCTCTGTGCACTTGACTCTGAGTCTGGAACTGGGGGGGTACCTGTACTGCGACTGGTCGTTGCCGCCCACGTCAGGACACCGGAGCTTCTGAACCAGGATCCGAATGATGCTGATGAACTGGATGAAGTTCACCTTGGAGACAGACGGGAAATTATGAATGGTCAGAGGAACCCAACGGGGCTGAAGGTGTGTCGCTGTAGAGTCAGAAACACAAACAGAAGAACCAATCGACATGAAGCCTTCCTCTGGTTCTTCTGAGGAGGCGCTCACGTACGGAGTTCAGTAAAACGTTGTGAAATCATCAGAAACTACCAAGGACTGAAAGGTTTCATGCTTCCTGAGATCATAACAATATTTCAGGAACTACTGAAGATAAAAACTCACATTTCCACTGTTTCAACGCCATCGACTCTGTTCTACCTGGATCAGAACATCGACTACTATCGGACTTTCTGTGGTTCGACTTGTCAAACCTGCTCATTCAGTGACCAAGTATTTCATAATAAAACTATTCTAGATGTTTAGTTTGGTGTCATTTCAGCCACAGTTCAATACAAACATGTACAGATTTCTACCTGAACCGTTTGCTACATCCTACAGTTTTACTCCAAATACGTCTTGAGTTCAGAGTTTTTGAGAAACAGCCCCTCATGTTCAGTAGAGTAACACAACGCCTTTCATGTTTTCATATGTTTCCAATGGGGCTGCACCGTGGCGCGGTGGTTAGCACCGTGGCCTCACAGCTAGAAGGTCGGTGGTTGGCGTCCCGGTGAGGACACCCGGGATCTTCCTGCGTGGAGTCTCCATGTTCTCCCCGTGCAGCGTGGGTTCTCTCCGGGTTCTCCGGCTTCCTCCCACAGTCCAGAAACATGCTGAGGTTAATTGGTGATTGTAAATTGTCCGTAGGTGTGAATGTGAGTGTGCTTGGTTGTCTGTCTCTAAGTGTAGCCCTGTGATAGACTGGTTACCTGTCCAGGTGAACCTGCCTTCACCCTGAGTCAGCTGGGATAGGCTCCGCCCCCCATGACCCTGGTGAGGATTAAGGTGTAGAGATGATGGATGGATGGAATTTCTATTCAAAACATCAGCATAAGTTCCAACTTTTTCTTGAGGTTTCTGTAGACGGGGTCAGTGGAACCTGCCATGATGCTTCAAAGAATCACTGAAGTGATCAAATTTAACATCGAGGGCCTGCTGTAAAAATTCATCATTCAACAAGTATTTGGAGTAGAGCTGTGGGATTTTATGGTTCAGGTAGAAGGTTCTGTACGATTTACACAAAGAAGAATCCCTGAGCTGAGCTGAGCGGGCAGAGTCGGCACGGAGCGGCCCGAGTGAGACCATGTGGTTCAGACAACATCTCCGGTTGACTTCTGGGTTATCGGTTCATTTGTTAAGGAGCTCAAAGATGGAACTTTTTTACATATTCCAACTCACCCATAATCACAGATTATTGATCTGCTGTCCAGTAGTACAGGTTCTGGATCAGTGACACGATGAGAGATATCAGAGAACATCTCAGGTTTTTATCCTTAACAGTTTCTGATGTTGTTGTTTAAACAGCCTCATTGTTAACAAACTGGTCATGTATTACTCTGTATGACTGTCAGTAAATCAGAGACAGTGAAGCAGAAACTCTGACGGTTGAAGGACTACATGGTTCACTTCTTCATGGAATCCATTTTAATGCATCTTCAGCATTAAACTTCCTTTAACCCTAAAAGCTCATCCGTGTATCACATTACACATTTGCAAGTTTTGGGAACCTTAAAATAATCTCCTCCTGCTTTAAAGGGTCTTAGCGACACTGTGGCTTCCTCTGCAAGGTGCAGCTCCAGCACACCAGCTCCCCACCTCTCAGACACCGTAAAGCTTGAACACGTCTGAACCAGGAGCTGCTTGAGAAGGTAAAACGATGAAAGCTTCCCCGTGCACGCTGACAGGTGTGCTCCTTAGCTTTGTTACCGATGAAACGCCAGACGTGTGATTGGTTTTGACCTTTCATCGGCGCGCTGCAGCTTTGAGGCGGAAATGCTCGACCTTTAGCGCTGACTGCTCGTTGTGTCGTCCAGGACATAAAAACACCACGTGGTCGTGTAAGAACCCTGATGTTCAGCAGAATGTGGACCATGCAGCCCAGAAGGTGATGTAAGTCTTTGTTCTGAGCAGATCATTAAAAGCAGCACATGAACCTGCACTGACAAGACGCAGCAAAGCGGCGAAGCTGCAACGCTTCCTGGGACCCTGGACCCTGGACCCTGGACCCGGGACCCGGGACCCGGGACCTGGACGTCCTGTAATGATCTGTATGTGGCTATCTTTTCGAACGTGCAATCTTTTGAAATTTATCTTCATGTGACTCATATGCATTAACATTTACATCCCTGGCAGCAGCATAAATAAGCTTTTCATACAAACACCTTCATCTCCTGCTAAGAGTAACTGCCCCCCGCCGAGACCTTTAAAGGTTGAAAGAGCTCACGGCGTGCTGTCACTGAGACGGCGGCAGGAAGTCCTGTGAAGTTAATACCTTGAGATGCGGGGCATGAACACATCGTACCGTGGTTACTGGATGCTGCAAAGAACGCTGATGCCTGTGGATTCACCCGACGGTTTGTCTGGGTTTATGGGAAATTAGAGTCCAAAGGGTCGTGAAAGTCAGCTCTGTAATGAGGCGTTCTGAGAAAAACAAGCATCTGTGTGTCCGATTCTCCTTCCTGTAGAAAATGTTCTACGAGTTAAGATGTTTTATATAAAAGTGGGTTCATAAAGGTCACATGGACAAGAAGATGAAGGAGAGCCACACGATCGAATCTAACATGATGGATTTGTTTGTTTTAGACTTGATTACAACCTGCTGGCTTCATACCTTTCATTTCTCCATCGCTAAGCACCTGAGCAATCTTTGAACCAACCAGCAGGTGAACGCTCAGGTGAAGAAGCTCAACCTACCATGATGGAGAACCCGATGGGGCCGTTGATCACCCAGTTGGGTATGGGGTTGTCGTTCCTCTCCCAGCACCTACAGACAACACAAACACCCAGAGTACAGCTGTAACGCACAGCAGCAGCAGCACAGCACCCAGGATGGATCAAGCAGACACAGCGTTTTCTGCTCCTGGATCATGGTCCTTCACTTAGGTTCATGATTCTCTGCAACATAAAGTCCTGCAGCTCTGTGGAACCAGAACCACATGAAGGAGGAGGAGCGAGAACTCAGAGACATCTGCTGTCAGCAGGACTCTGTCAGAACGATGGAGACCAAAAAGTGAAGACATAATGTCAGACTGGGAGGAGGCTAAACGACAAAATGACTTGAAACTTGTCCAAAATGAACAAAATTCCAAAATGGCGACAAACCTATCAGAACAATTAAAAAAGAAAATGTCCAAAACGACTCAAAACATCTCCAGAATTATTGAGAGTGACAAAAATGTCAACAATGACTTAACATTTGTGCAAAAATGACTTGAAACTTGTCCAGAATGACTCCAAAATGATCCAAAATGACATATATATGAACCAAAAACATACAAAATGAATTAAGATCTGTCCAGAATTACTTAGAACTTGTCAAGAATGACTCAAAAACTGTCCAAAATGAATTAAAATTTGTATATAACAACTTGAAACGCATCCAGACTCATTCCAACAACTCCGACTCATTCTGAAACATGCACAGAAACAGCAGCTCCGTGACACACAGGAGGAAAAGTGGAGCTAAAAGGCAGAATAAAAAAAAAAAAGGCTAAAAAAAGCGCTATGAGATGACTTGTTGTTATAAATATGCGCTATACAAATAAAATTGAATTGAATTGAACTGAATATTGTCTCTTTCACGGGTTAAAATGACAATGAAATGTCAAATGGAATAATTGTTGCTGACGATGTCCAAACTCGTGTGTCGAGTGGATCCAGAGTGAGGTGAGCACCGTCGCTGCTGCTCTGTTTCAGAGACGCCCACTCGCTGTCAGCTGTAACAATGTGCGGCGGCTGAGCAGCTGAATTATCCAGGAAAGCTCCTCTGACATGTGGGATATTTGTGTTGCTATTGTGAAAGCTGAGCCTCGTTCCCATGTGAGCATCTGATGGAGAAAATGTAATTTAATGTGAATCTAATTTGTGGCTGCGATCAAACAACCGTCGCTGCTGAATATCAATAAGTTCGACTGTCTGATGGAGTCGAGGAACATAATGAATATATCAAAGAGCTCCACAGACGACGTGCACAACAAATCAGACACTAGCGAGCAGAGCCATGTGATAGAATCTGATCCATCTAGTGACAAACCTGCTGACAGCTGATTGGCCGTTACTCACCCCGTGTCCTCCAGGTAAATCCTGGTCACCACCCACGCAGAGACGAACACGGTGGGGATTCCTGCAAACACACAACATCGTTATATCTGGGATTCATCGTGTCTTTGCTGCTTTTTATCAAACATCGTGTTTTAAATCAGGTTTCTTATCGTACGTTTCTGTCCACTTTTTCCAAATGAAACGGACTTTCTCAAACAAACCAACATGAATATAGTGGATGTGACTCTGAATGATGAGGTTTCTCAGAACTTTTCAGACTTTTTCAGACTCTTTCTGCTGGCAGCTCCAAGACAGAAAATCTTTCAAACAAATGCAAACACAGACTAGGCTCAGTAATCGCTGCAGTAAGCCGTCACACAGGAAGCTATCGAGGCCTCAGTGTCAGTGTAGTTAGTAAATAAAACCCATCGGCACACTGAAAGTCAGTCTGTAAAGAGGGCAACCATAGAGTCAGAGGGTAGATGTAGAGTCAGAGGGTAGATGTAGAGTCAGAGGGTAGATGTAAATGTTACCGTTTAACTCTAGCTTTACAACAAGGCTCCTGAACACCTACAGCCTACTGAGGAACAGACTGGAGACAGACATGCAGACATTTCCAGCTGTAAAACAAACAGTGGATCGATTTTGATGGCCTTAAATGTGTATTATGTTGGAAAATGGTAGCGGACTGGATGAGAAGCAGAAACACTTGATCAGGACATATCTACCTTCAACATTCGTTATGTTCAGAGCTGTGAAAACCAGACTGTCATAACAAATGTTTGTGGCTCTGGTGAGGATCGTGTGTGGACAAACATCAGGAAACAGTATAAGTAGACTTAAGAATTTCTTTGTAATAGGACAATGGTATGAAGTTGCTAGCTGTATCTTGACTAGGAAACAGTACAATTGTTGTTTTTTTTTTTCCAGCTGTGGACTAATCTGTGGCATGTGTTTGTGGCAGCAGGATGGGGTTTGTGGAAGCAAACAAGGAGCTAAAAGCAGCAAACAAGCCGTTATGGCTGCAGAGTCGGTGATAATTCAAAGAAAAAAGGAAACGGATGCCCACCCCAGCCGATGAACATGTAGACGATGAAGTGTCGGTTCTCAGAGAAGATGACGACCAGCAGAGTGTGGAGGTACAGACCCTCCACCAGCAGCCAGAAGAAGTTGGCCATGATGAAATACTGGAAGAACACCAGGCTGGCTTTACACCCCACCTGGAGGACACACATCAGAGAGGCACCAGAAGGTTAAAGATCCTCACCAGCTTCACTGGCAGCATCGCATCAGACACACAGTGAAACATCAGGTCGATCCTGGACTCATCCTTCCACAGGGACACTGTGGGGTGATGAAGCTGTCCTGCTCATTACTCTGATAGGTTTTCCACTGGGGCAGTCGATGAGTGTAGTGGGAAGATAAAGCTACATTTGTAGATCACAGCGTTGGAAGCAGCGAGTCGACGGGTGTATAAAGGTCAGACAATCTCCAACTGTCCCAGAAGCTTCGGCTCCAAGATGTGAGCAAATGGAGGAACACTGCAGGAAACAGTCAAATGTCAAGGGCTGCAAAGCACTCACAGTGTAAAGTCAGTTTATCAGGTTCACCTAAAACTAATGCAGTCTGACACAAGAGCTGAGGAGGAATCGGGCTGCCCTGATGTTTCACTGTGAGCACCGTGCGGTGAATGTAAAGGTTGTGTTGATGCCGTTCAGTCAGTAAGCGTCGCTGCACAGCTCAGTGCTGCTTCTGGAAACACGCAGCTCTGATCATCCACATTCACAAAAATAAAACCTGCTGAGGAGGTTTTTACAAATATAGAAGCTTCATGGATTAAACATTCATATGAAGCACTACGGCTAATATGTGAAGTGGTCTGATGAGCTCGTCTCTGACGACTGGTTTCCATGTCTCTGTATCTCCATTCAAACTGAAAAGTAAAATAATCATCATAAAACATTTAAAATGACAACAAAAGAACAAAAAAGAGGGATACAGGGATCCTAACAGCTTCCACTCATCTAAGAGATGCTCTCAGTTCTAACTGGCTGCTGGGAGCCCCAGGTATTTATTCTAACCCTGAACTCACGGGGGGAATGGCTGCTCAACTGCCCCGGCGGGGAGGACACAGGCTGTGGATGGTGGTGGACAAACTGCCTGGAGAGGGACTGGTTTAGACAGAGAAGGAGGTCTATGACATCACTCACCAGGTGCTCAGAATGCCATCCATCTTCACCTGGACCGTCCCGCCCCAGGCAGCTTCATCGCCATCAATCCCGACTCATCCTTTCTCAGATACCACAACCTTGACCAACCCTTCCCCAAGCAGTATACGAACAGGATCCCCTTGAGCCATCCTGTCCCAGCGGTTCCACTGGAATCACCACCTGGAGATTCCTTCCCTGTCAGTTCACTATCATCGACACCTGAAGCCTGGCTGCCTCCCCAGGTGCTTTCACTACCATCTACACCTGAGCTCCCCTCCCCAGGCAGTTACAGCCTCCATTTCATCTAGTTAGAACCGAGAGTCCAGCTGCCTTCTGCTGCAGCACTGAAGTAACACAGGGATGTTTCTGGTGGCAGAAGGGAATCACGTGGACTGTTGTAAATGATGTTCTGTTATCACAACAATACAGTGAAATATGTGACGTCTTTCCTCTGGGAAACTGTTTTACTTTTTGATTTTCCAAACTGCAGCTGTTTTCAGTCCGGTAACACATTTGTGCAGCTCGACTCGGCGGCGGCGATGAGCTCACCAGTGACGGCTGGTTGGAGCACTGCGAGGTCCGGCTGAAGACGATGTCGTCCTTCACCAGCACGGCCACAGCTCTCAGGATGAAGGAGACGAACAGGTTGAGGTGGATGTAGTTCCTGGTGCAGTGGAGCTTCCTGCACAGAAACAGGAATCAGATGGAGACACTTCTACCAAACTCCGCCCGGCCGGACCAACATGTGCCCCAGAATATGGAACAGCACAGGCGGGTTCACACCTCGGGGTGGGCTGTGACCCGGGCCAGGTCCGACCAGCTTCTGACTGTCTTTCAATACCTGAAGTTCTGTCTAACAGCAGCTTAGAAAAGTAACTGCAACATAGAAGATCAACACCAATGTGGTGGTGTGACAGAGAGCAGGGGTAACCAGGGGTAACCAGGGGTAACCGGGGGTGACCGGGGGTGACCGGGGGTAACCAGGGGTGGCCAGGGGTGACCGGGGGTAACCAGGGGTGACCAGGGGTGACCAGGGGTGACCAGGGGTGACCAGGGGTGACCAGGGGTGACCAGGGGTGACCAGGGGTGACCGGGGGTGACCAGGGGTGACCAGGGGTGACCAGGGTACAGCTTCTGTTGGGGCTGTATTCTTCTACATGGTCTTTTAGTGTTTAAAACGTCTTGTAGCAGAACCGAAGCAGCTTTTATAGAAATTAAATGAATCGATTGCAAAAACGTGTTTTTTTCATTTCTGTACAATAGAATCATAAAACCATCTCAACAACATCTTTGCTTAAAGCTTGATCACATGTTTAGCTAGCACACTCCAGAACCCTGAATTTAAATGGAAACAAACATTTTTGGTGTCAAAGCCCATCAAGAGTTTATTGGAAGTTTATAAAATTATAAAAAAAACCGTCACCCTCTTTTTGCACCAACTTGATGATAGATTTTGTTCCGGTCATGATCCAGTCTGCATTTGATTAGTTTGCCATTAAGAGAAAATCAAGAACTCAGTACTGTGTCCTTAAATACTTTGTGTGTCTGGGTGTTGGGGGTATGAACTGGGTTGGACCACAATCAATGTGAGGTGTTAAACCTTCCAGTGGTGGCAGGAGTTTTATTTCAGACCGTTCACACCGATAATAACTGCAGAGTGTTACTGCAGCACAGCTCACAGCTTCAATGGTTTGATTTAAAGCAGAAACCAAGAGTGTCTTTGGATAATCTGCAGCAAACCGGGTTCTCCGGTCAGTCTGAACACATCTACTTTAGAAAGTGAACTTTAGTTTGACGGCTATCTGCAGGCTGCAGGTCGTCATCAGCCAGACGCTGGAGCAGCTCTTCATCCAAACCGTCCTTCAACCACAAACACAGAAAACAAACTAAACGTGTTTGTCGTTAATCTGAAGCTGTGCTCTGAAAAACTTCATGTAAAGTCTGATTAAAGTGGATCCTTCCAGTCGGAACACAAAAATCCTTCTGGTACCACACGTACACGTCCAGTCATAGAATCACACCTCTGCTACTGCCAGGGTTTTATCTGGACACGGCCGCGGTCTTACCGGAACAGACAGAGGATGGCGCTCCCGGTGGTGAGGGCGATGAGGGACAGGCTGTGGCCCAGAGTGTACAACGTCTGGACCACCAGGTAGAAGACCAGCTGCAACCAGACACAGTCAGAACTCAGAGAACAGCAGAGTGACCACAAACAACAGCTTCTATCTGCAGGAGTCGTTCACACCGCCTCAGGTGTCACTAACAGGAGAAACCTTCAGTTCTAATGTTAAAAACCTTATAAGTCTGTGACATGTCAATGCAGAAGTCAAATTCAGAGTGTTTGATGAAAAACAAGCTTCCAGTGGATCAGAACCACCCTGATGATGGCTTCAGATGGAACCATTTATGTCTGAAATACTGAACCCAAGCTTGACTTTCAAAATCAAACCGCATTTCCCTCCAACCAGTCGCTCATTCAAACATCCAGAATCTGTAAATACACAAACACGTTTTATCCTTCAAGTTAAACCGCTGATCAGACTGAGTGTACGGCGGCAGCGTGTCGGATTTGGCTGATCTTATCTTCCTCTGGTCCAGATGTGAAGGAAAACCTGCAGCGACACACAAAGAAAACACGAAATCCGTGTCCAGAGCCAGCGTTTGGTTTGTCCCTGCTGGGCTCCTGTAGAAAGATGCTGGAACTCTGCAGACATGAAACCCCAATGAAGCCAACAGTCAATATTAAGTTCAGGTTCTGACAATAAATCCTGCTGAATCCGACACACCGGACCTTCAATGTAACACGACAAAGAGTTCCAAACATCAGAGAGAGCACATGAGGCCACAAACAGCAAAACGAAGCAAATTCACAGATTTCTACTCTGCAGTTAAACTCTACTCGCTCGTCGTTTGTCATCTCCAGCTGGTTTGGATGAAACAGGTCAGATGTTTAGGCTTTCATGTTTTAGTTCATTGTCTTTTCCTGTCAGGAGGCTGTGGTTCCTGTCATTCACCATCCAACGGGCCTTCACGTCCATCCTCTGCTGCCTCCAGATCAAACCTTTGTTCCATCCAAATAAAGAGCAGGAGCTGATTCCAGGTCAGCTGTTTCTTCTCTTAGTTTGACTGAGCAAATCTCACATATTCACGTGATTCTGTTTTCACTAACAGCAGGAACAGAAGGAGAGCCTGAGAAGTAAACGTCGGGTCACGTCGAGGTTCTGTGTGATCCGTGCTGAGGCGGAGGCTGCCGACCGGCCGAGCACCGGACAGACGTGAAGCGAGAAACCACAGAAACCGAGGAGAGAAACGGATAAACAGCTAAACAAGAACAAAGGCTGATTCAGGATCGGAGCAGTCGTGACCCAGATTGAACCTCAGCAGTGAACGAGCAGGACAGCAGCACAATGAAAAGGACCAGACGCCCTGAACACCCGAAGCTCTGCTTCTGCTGCTTCCCAGAACTGTTTGGGAATAAAAACAGCACAAACACCACCCAGATCAGAGCTAGCCTGCTGAGATTCAGACGTCTGCTGCACTGAATGTGGTCCAGAAGCAGCTTCATGAGGCTTTCATCAACACAGCTGTGGTTTGTCTGCATCTGAATGACCTGGTAGCTCAACCTGATCCACTCTCATGCTAAATATCTCTGAACTTTAAAGAGTGTAAAACACCTACAAACGCTGCAAAGAGCATCATCGAGTGAACAAATGAACTTCCTGTCATTTGGCTGCTTTCTACAGACGTTAAACTGCCAACATGGAGGCTGAAGATGTGGACCTGAACCCTGCTCAACACTCTCTGATTTACCTGATCCTTCACAGCACAAAACACAAACATTTATAGACGGTCATGAAGTTTCAGCTTCATTTATCAAATATTTTCTGAAATAAACGTGTCTCTTGATCTCCCCGTCGAGCCGCAGGTGTTTCCTCATATTTAGATTTGAGTCTGTTTGAACAACAATAGAGACAAAACCCTGAAACGTTCTGTTCTGTCCGTCACTGATCCAGGATCGGTCATGTCGGACAGCAGATCAACAATCTGATCATGGGGGAGCTGAAACATGAAAAACAACGTCATGAAACGTCCCATATTGAGCACATGAACAAAAAACACAGAAGTCATGTAGTGATGTGTTCTGACCCACATGTAGCTGCAGGTCCCAGGAACACAGAACCAAACATCAGAGTACTTAATATGAAACACTGGCTCACAAACATGATGGAAACAGTTATGATGGCTAAACATCACGAGTGATCGAGCAGGTTGGAGCACAGAAACAGAAGTACTGCTGGACAGTCGGATCCAAGCACAGTTCTGGAGTTTAAAACGGTTCTGCACACGAAAAACGACAAAAAAAGTTCTTCTGTCATGTTTTGATCCACTTGGTAGTCTGAAGAGACAGTGAGCCGCTGAATGAACTGGATTCATATCCTTCTCAGCAACATCAGAGGTTCTGGATGTGATGAGAAACAACAGAACATTTCAGGTTTTATCTTCAATGTTGTTGAGCAGCCTCCAGTTTAAATATGAGGAACGCTGCTGACGGGTCGACGGGTCGACTGTTGGATTTATTGTTCAATTGTCTTTCACAGGATTTGGGACATGGAGCTCAAACATTTTATAAACACCCAGTTTATGATAAAAAGTCTTCAGGGAACCAGGGACGGTCGACAGACGGGTCAGAAGGAACCTGACGTCTCAAATGACTGATGAAATAAGTCCAAACGGGCTGATCCGATTTCTAAATCTGATTTGTGACCAGCAGCCGGGCTGTTAAACACGTCGGCCAATCAGAGGCCGCGCATCCGCTGACCGAGTCGCTTCTACAGACGACATGTTTTCATCTTTATTAAACGAAGCTGCAGCCCTGCAGGCGTCTGCAGCCGCTCATGGTTCCTGCTGCGCTTCATCAGGGGACATTTACGGCGAGGAGGCGGGTCCACTCTACCTTGTCCTGGCTCGTGTCCGACCCACAGACGCTGCTGATGTTAGGGAAGACCTCCGACCATCCGGCGGCGGTGCAGTTCCTGCTGATGTTGCCTGAAAGAGAAGCGACGCAGCAGATGAAGCGACAGACTCAGCTTCTGACAGCAGTCACCAGCCAACGTTCAGCGTGTACATGTCTGGTTATCGGGTCTGAAACAACCAGTCTCTGATCCAACATGGACGCCTGAGCTGCTCCAGCAGAGTGAGCTGGTGTGCTCGACAACATGGACCTGCTCGCTGTAGACAGCACAGTAGAACTACACAGAGTCATTTTAATGCATCACTGGATTATTATTCAACTCATAAAACTTCACAGACAAACCAACACCCAGGAAACCAGAGCAGCCTGCTTCCTGCTGAACTGGACGTCACTGTTCTCATCCACACGCTCTGGTCCTGCTCTTACAGGACCTTTGATTTCCTTCCTTTATCTATTTTATCATCATTTTTTGTCCTTTCTGACGCTGCTGGCTTCTGTTCACCACGTTGTCTTCAGATCCTGGTGATTTTATGACCTTGTGACTTCATCAGCTGATATGTTGTTTTTAATTGGTTCAATTATAATTCAGATTAATCAGTGACATTCCCAGTCCACACACTGCAGCACTGATAATGTTCTATTACCCATCGATATTTAGTGCAGGCAGGAAAAAGTTTTAGTCGCATGAAACTATTTGATTTGTTTGTAATCGGACACATTTTGAGTCATTTATCGTGAGTTTCAGGCCATTTAGGGACCAGTTTTAGATCATCTGGACCGATCTGGAGTCACACCAGATAGACTTTCCTCAGAACAGAATACAGAACTAGTGTCCAGGTCACGTTGGATTCACTGGCTGGAGGTCCTGAACCTCCTCAGAAGTCTTCGTCATGGTGCCCGTTGCTGCTGAACTCCCACAATGCTCTCCAGCTAATCTCCTACACCTTATCAGACACGCATGTCCTTCTGATGAGACAGTCTTCTATCAGCAAAATTAATACCAGTGTTATTTAGTGAGGACAGGAAAACTCTGAAAGAGGCATTTTGGATGAGTTGAAGTCGTATTAAACGCTTGTTGAGGTTTTGGGTTATTTAGGACGAGTTAAGATCATTTTATCCAAGCTTTTGGTCCTTCTGGACAAACTTTGAGTCCTGTTGGATGACCGTGAGTCATTCCCACAGGTGTTAGTCATTTAGGACAGATTGTTTTTCAGATTGGTCATTAACCTCCTCAGAAGTCTTCGTCATGGAGCCCGATGTCCAACATGGACTGTCTGGAGTCCTTCTGGGTTTCTCAGTCCGACTCTGTGGAACATCTGAACACACAGCAACAGCCCGCCTGCCTGATGTGGGGTAAACTGAACCCTGTGTGTGATGCTTCATAGAGGATGGAACATGTCAGTATTTACAACTTACATGTGTCCTGATACGAGCAGCGAGTCAGAAATAAGCCCATTAGTTGGGTACGAGTCCAGAGCTTCCCTCCAGAGAGCTGCTCAACCAAAAGCACATTTAATGGGAACGTCGTGTGACCAGCACTCGGACTTTTCCTGGTGATTCACACAAACCTCGCTGAGCCTTCAGCCCAACAGCCCTCCTGGAAAGCTCTCCTTTATTCCTGCTGCCACCTCTTCACCGAGCGTGGGAATGACGCATCCACAAAAACGGTATTAAAGGAGGTTTGTTGGAGCTTTACGGAGCTTCAGGTCCTGCTGACGGATATATTTAGAAACTAAAACCATGAACCACGCTAATAAACGTGAGCAACACTGTGTGTGAGAACATTACAGAACACAGCAGACGGTGAAGAATCAGCCGGACCGGTTCTGGATGAACCTGTTCAGGAGGTGAACTAGCAGTCACCATCGTGTCCTCTGGTTCAGGCTCAGCAGCTGAATGAGCTCCACGTCCAGCCGAGGCCAGAATCTGGGGCTTCAGCTCCCTTTGGAAAGTCCCAGAATGCGGCGTAAAAGCATGAAGCGCTATTTGCTCGCTGACTGGAAGTAACACACTTCTGCCCCAGTGCACACTCGAGCAGCCGTCTGCAGACTAAACACAGCTGAAGCTAACACAGGGGTTCCAGCGTTCGCCCTGATTTACGGACGCTGATGTTGCTCTCGTGTTTGTGCGCTGACGGATCGCTCTGAGTCTCACGATCTGTCCGACTTTCACTGCTGGAACACTCAGAGACTGAAGTGAAGAACCGATACGTCTCAGTTGTAACGTCCTGCCTGGAAAACGTGCTGAGCTGATGCAGAGCAGACGCCTGATGAGGAGAATGTGCTGAAAGTCTAAAAACTAGAAGGTGCTGAGAGCAGAGAAAGAGCTGTTAGCCACTGGAGATCATATGTAGATTTCTCATTAGCTTCTACTTCGGCTTTTAAAACTTCTAATAATCACAAATATCTGCCCAAAACGACACCGATCAGTAATAAAAATAAAATCCAATTCTGACTCAAATGTGAGTGAAATCGTGCATTAGTTGTTTGAGCTCTCAGTGTAGATCCAGTTTATCCACATGAAGCCCAGCCAAGGAGAACGATGGAGACCAGCATATGTTCACGTTTGACATAAAATAACTCCAACAGCGAGTTCAACTGACGTCTACAAATGTTGTCTGACCAACAGTAAAAAAAAAAAGAAAGAAAAAAGCCAAAAACCTGCTATTCACAATAAAAGCTGCCTCTAGTGTGACGGAGCCGCCGTTTACGACCTGCAGCTACACTCCACCGTCGGATTTCCCTCCGATACGCCAAACAACACGTCCAGTCAGCGACATGAAGGCTGAAGGTTGCCGCTCGGCCCTGTGGGGGAACGTCAGCTGTGACAGACGTTCTCGTCATTCACTGTTCAGCAGAAGCACCACCACTACATCCTGGGCTAAGCTCCGCCCACGACGGAGACACACAAGCAGTCCAGCAGGTTTCCATGCTGTGTCGGAGGAGGAGGTGCAGTCAGATCGCTTCACGTGGTCAGATTCAGATTCATACGAGTTCAGAACCAAAACAACAAAACAAATGAAACGCTCCGACAGGCGCTAAAGCTAGCTTCACTGTTGAGCAATAACTCTGCACATGCTCATTTCATCTGTTTTCAACCAGTAGAAAACAGCTCACATGTTGTTTTGAACACATTTCTTCAGCACAACCAGACATCTCTTACTCATGTCCCTGTTCAGGCCTTAAACCTGCTAAAAGGAAACCTTTGGATTCGGTGGGTTTCTGTATAATACTGGGACGTTTTAGCCTCATTTAGGTTAGTCAGGGAAATGCATGCATGACATACTGTAGGTTCTCGATGATATTTAGACTGGTTGGGTCGACTGGAGGGACTAAATGAAGTCTAACAAACAGCCAGAGTTTCTACGGTAACAGGCTAAACGTTGGTTTGGGAGCTGTGGAGTTGATTTTGATCTGCTTCCTCTGGTTTTGGTTTCCCTGACAGAAGACAAACTGAACCGTTGAGTACTTTCAGCGTCTCTGCGGGTCTTCATCCTGAATGGCGGTTTTACACAACGAGTCGGCCGTTTCAGTAAAACGCTGCGACTTCAGGGAAACGTCAGCGTGACTCTGGAGCCGCTGGGTTTTCACATCACGTTCAGTCATCGACCGAAACCGGAGCACAAACCCAAACCTGCCATCTGCTCAGTGGCCGGAAAACGTGATGGATTCAGGGGGGAGTCCATCGACCGGACAGAACCACAGAGCAGAGAGGAGGATGGAAGCAGCTCCCAGAGGTTCAGTGTCAGATAAACTGCAGGCGAAGCGAAACTCATCTGCAAGAACTCAGTATCATCATCCACCATCAGTCACCTTCACCTCTACCGGGAAAAAGAAGCTTCACAACCAGAGACAGGATGCAGGAGAAACAGCAGAGCACCTCCTGCAGTTAAATGAAGGTGTGAGTGAGCAGCAGCTCGCTCAGTGTTGGGTTTGTTCCCTTCATAACCAGACACAACGACCAAAATTTAAACTGCAAAGTCAGAGAGGAAGGAAACGTAAGATGAGGTTTAGGTCACATGAGATAGAAAATAAAGAGGCTATTAGATAAACACAGTGGCCTCAACAGGTTTCATGTCTGTTGGACTTTTGGTTCTGGAGATATTGAACCTCTGAAATGGCTTCTTTGGGGGTGAAGTTACAGAAACTCTCAAGTCTGAAAACATCTGAAGTTCTCAAAACTATATTCAGCAGAACATCTCTGAAGATGATCTGAGACGGAAGCAACAAACTTCCTGAATTCTGACGGAACCTTTAACGGGTTCATCTGCTGATGAAGCCTCAGCAGGTTAACCATGTGTTCTGTGGGTCAAGTTAAGTGAAGACGAGGAAGACAACACCGACAAAATGCTTCTGGTGGCAAACTCATCACCGTTGTATTTAAAGGACAGTTTATCGGTTCGGCTCACAAACAGTCGTGTATCAGGGTTAAAACCTCCAGAAATCAGCAGTTCCTGAACTCACCATTTCTTCCGAACACGGTCCTGAGGACTCGAGGACACGCGATGGTGGCGGTTTCTCCAAATGCAGACGGCTCCCAGCACGCAATGTTGTCCCACATTCCTCTGCATCCGGGTTCTGCCAGAACCAAACGTGGTTTCATGAGTAGAACTTTCACATTAAAAATACATTTAAGAGACTGTTGTCTTTAGAAAAGCATCAGCATTAGTCGGGTTCTGGTTCCTACCAATGATCCACAACAACATTTAGTCTAAACATCTAATAACTGGAGCCTTGTCTGGTCCAGCTTCACCACATCAGGTTCTGCTGATCTTAGAGCCTCAACAGTTGGTGGAACATAGACAGACGCTGACAGGAACTTTCTTGGGCCACGATACCACCTAAGTTTGGAAATTTTGCACTTTCTTCCATTTCCAAGGACCAATAATTCAAAACGAGTCCTCTGTTGGATCTATTCAGTTGTTCTGATCTGATGGAAACTGTTCCGTCTGCGTCGCCACCAAACTTCACGTCTGTTGGATTTTTATTTCTGGAGATACTGAACCTTTAAAATGGCTTCACGGGTTTTTTGGGGGTAAAAATAGAAAAATTCCAAGTCTGAAAACATCTGAAACTCTCAAAGTTCAGCCCAGAAATATCTGACAGAAGTTAGTTTTGGGTCCCAAATGATGGATCAGTAAACTGTGAACTCTAACTACACCACCTGACCCGTTAACGTGATCCGTCCTTAATGCGCTTGTTTACATCGATGTGCACCCAAACACTGCCTCCACGTCCTGGTTCCTTTAAGCTCCTCCTTTGCTTCCTTATTTCTTGTCCGGTCTTCTTGTTGTTCTGATTTATTTTCTGAGTTTCTTTCTCATCACTGACTTTATTTTCTAACTCGTATTAAATCCTGTCTGGCCCACTGGACACAGCTTTATTCTCGTTGGACGTGAACGACGGACCGACCGATCCGGCTTCCGTCACCGTCTAAAGTGGAGCTTATTCCCGTCTTGACCTCTTCTTAAAAGCCCAAACAGCGACGGAGCTGCAATCAGGTTCCATCAGACAGTATTTTTAGGAGAAAGGAGAGAAACCGGAGGACAGCATGCGTTAGGGTGGGAACGGCTCGGTGCATGAAGGAAACTCCATCTAGCCGCTAAGTGATCCGTCCTCTCTCAGGAACACTTGAGCGGCACCAGAAGCACATCTGGAGGGCAGACATCTGGAGGGCAGACATCTGGAGGGCAGACATCTCTCGGCCGTCTTCTTATTTTTATTCAGCTCAAAGTGAAGGCCGACTGAACACGCCGCCTTTTTGCACTGAGCTTAACAGACTGACGTCCTCCAGGGTCCACGAGTGTCCAGATCTGCCCAGAACGTCAGAGCTTCCTTGCACCTGAGTCCACTTAGTGGTGGGAAGCCAGTGAGGGATCATGACCCTCAGACTGATGGCATACCAGGTTTTACATTTATATTTGATTTGAACTCGACAGCCGTCCCGTAGGAGACTAGAGGCAGTTTGCCAGATAAGGAGACATGTCAGTCCTGGATTCACTGTTTTCTACAGAACCTGCTTAAAGCAAACTTTTTTTGTTTTTAAAGATTTATTTTGGGGCTTTTCCACCTTTAATGATAGTTGAAAGTGAAAGACAGACAGAGAACCGTGGGGAGGAGAGCGGGGGGATGACATGCAGCAAATGAGGTGCTGGCTGGAATCGAACCCGGGCCGCTGCATCAGGGACCAGGACCGCTGTACGTGGGCCGCCTGCCCGACCGCTGAGCTATCCAGGCGCCCCGCAAACGGTTAGTTTTTAGGCACATTTTTAAATGAAACATGCAAAATAAAGTGACTTTAGTGAAACATCCTGGTTTGTAGTTTTGGTTCGTCCCAACTCGTGAGCAGTTCGAGGACAGTTGGAAAGTTGAAACCTGTCGTCAGTGAGTTTCCTGCTCTGACAAACGGTTTTTTTTGGGATTCAGAGGCTCAAAGCAGCTTAACCGTATTTATGGCGTGTTTAAATGTCAGACTGGTGCAGGAATATTCAGACATAAATATCCTAAACCCACTGCAGCGGTACCGGCTGACGGGTTTAGCGTGTGCAGAGCGTCAGGCTGACAGTGTTGAACTAATGATGCCTGTGCTGTAAACTCTGCCCGCTCTGCTTACATTTCTGACTGCAGCTGCAAAGGTCAGCCTCAGTTCAATCCGTCTGATTTCTGCAGCTGCACATCAGCGACTCTGCGCCTCGTCTCTCCTAACAGGGCATCACTTAGATTCGATGGCGCTTTATGCTTCACCACAGGGGGAACCTCACATGGCTGCAGGTGATACAGGAAACAGAAAGAGCACAAAGAGGTGACAGGAAGAACAGAGAACAAACAAACTGGAAGTCGTAAGAGCTGAGAAACGCCATAGGACAGAGCTACACCATGTTTATGCTACTGTCACAGATATACGTGCAGCTCCTCGCTGAGACTCGTCCTGAGCTGATAATGGACCAGATTCATAATCAGTGCCGGATGAGTTCTGCCTGAGATCTGGATCGAACCAGGATTCTTGTGTTTAAGAGCTGCAGCGCTCTCACAGTTAGCTTCACATTAGAAATGGCAGAGAAGAAAACTCGCTGCCACCTGGAAGGATCAGTCACTGACATGTTTCATCTGCAGGACTTGACAAGCAACAGGCGAGTGTAGACGACATGCAGGCAGCGCCTTCGCTCTCAGGAGCATCCTGAACGTTTACCTCTTCCTATGTAAAGTTGTGTCCTTGTACCTACAGCTCACATCCACACAGCGTGTTTCTGATCATCGTGTCGCTCTTCCTACAGTTCTGCCACTAACGGCTCCAGACGGTCCAGATGTTGATCTGTTGACATGTCGACGGCCTCCACAAGCTGCTCGTCCTGCTGGGTTCGGATTTTCTGTCACTTTTTCGTGCCTTTGGAACAGTTTTGTCTCTTCATGTCTTTGCCTCATTGTTGTCACTGTGTGTCTTTGTGTTGTTTTGTCTCCTCGTGCTGCAGATCTTGATCTATGCTTGTGTTTCCAGCCTCCGTGGGCCTGAAACATATGTTCTGGTTCTGAAAAGAAAAATCACTCAATGACACCATTTACCAGCCAGAAATGGTAAAAACAACCAAGAACCAAATCTGAGCTTCAACTGGGACGTTTTAACGACATAATATTATTCTACTGTGAAACAAATAAAAAGGAGGCACCAGGTCCAGGATCAGAACTCGTAATAAACAATAATAATGAATCGTTGACATGTTTACAGCCTCGACGAGCTCCGCTCTGTGTTTTCACTCTCGTCCACTGAACCATCAGGTCTAATCCTGACGTCCTCCTGGAGCTCCTCTCTACTCTGCAGCACAAACAGACGGCAGCTCTCTGTAACCCACAGTGTGTGCTTCATGTCCTTTCTGTCCCAACTCAGTCCAATAATCTCATTTCTGAGCATGAGATTTAATCCGTTGGGTGCGTCTCAGCTCCAGATTGAGTCCAGCATATCTGCTCAATGAAAGAAAGTGACCTGAAGTAAACTGGAAACGCTGCCGGACAGATTAAAGTGCAGCACGAGCGCTGATCCTCACGGTGACGTGAATAAACAGAAGACTGGTGTGAAGCTGATCCCAGGCTGATCTTAGGCTGATCTTAGGCTGATCCCAGGCTGATCTCAGGCTGATCTCAGGCTGATCCCAGGCTGATC